AGTAATTGTGGGACTATTTTCAGTATACAAAATCTATAACTATGTATGTATTTTGAAATATTGCGGCTCTTACTAGGGATGTCATAGTATATTTACCGCCTATGAAAACCTTCACTTTGTCATTCTATACTCATGCATAAGGCATTCATACACATACATAATAAAATTTACTAAATGTTGCATTACATGATCATGTGTTTTTCAATTAATATTATAACTGAGCTTTCGCTCACCCCAAAGCTAACCAATTTCAGGAAATGACGACAAAGTGCCTCCTAAGTAAATGTTTTGAGTCGAAGAAAACTTTTGGGATGTGAAAGCTAATGTTTGAAATCATATTATGCGTATGCCAAGGGCAATTTTTGGGTGACTATGTGTAGACATCTATTTTGATGTAACAAGGAACAAATTTTGAGGAAAAGATGAACGGTATCTGATTTTGTTCTATCATTCCTTACTTGTTGAACTATTTTATTTTGTTTGTAAATGTAATGAGACAATGTTGTAAAGCTTGGAAATAGTTCAAAAAGGAAAGAATGTTGTTAATGTTATATCATTACTATTTTGTTTCGTTTTGTTATCGATCTTGTATTGGTAATGCACGGATGAAAAGGGGGAATAGGGAAGCTCATTTGTCAAGGCATTACAGATTTGCACCTGCCGAGTTGTATGAGTTGAATATTCAACTCCAAGAGCTGTAGATTCAACTCCAAGAGTTGTTAGATAAGGGCTTCATTTTCCCTAGTACATTGCCTTGGGGAGCACCGACTCTCTTTGCTAAGAAGAAGGATGGCACTTTACGATTATGCATCGATTACCGGAAGTTGAACCGAGTAACTATTAAGAACAAGTGCCCATTACCTTGTATAGATGATTTGTTTGACCAGCTGATGGGGTCTTGTTGCTTTTCTAAGATTGACTTGAGATCGGGTTATCACCAATTGAGGGTGAATGTCACACCTCAAATCCGGGCATGACCGGTCGTGGCCCGCAAGGACTAAGCCCAAGGCACACGTAAGCCTTAAACATAAATTCATAATCACATTGAACAACTATACAATAGTCCAATAAAAAATAACCAAAACTCAATCCAGAGACATACCACAAGTATAAGTGGCAAAACCAACCGTAATCAATACCATCTAAACTTATGGGGATATAAACAGCCCACATCTCAAAATAATTCTAAATGAACCTCAATAAAAATAAAAAGTGCACAAACTTGACATAACAATCTAAAATAAAATAAATGAACGTCTTAGAGGTCTATGCAATTGAGTCCCCACTACGCCATGAGTCCACTCTATGTCCTTCTAACATCTGGAATTGATAAACAACTAAGTCAGCTGATAGCTCAGTAAGTAGCAATATGGATAGTAAATACAGTTTTGAAAACAATGATCAACTCCAAAATAAGATATATATCACGAAAACTAGATTGGGATACAGTTTGGTAAAGACAATCTATTTCAAAAAGAAGGTTCCACAGTTCAACAGTTAAAATACTCATATCTCACAAGAATATGATAAATGACATTTTCCACTTAAAATAGATTACAACATGAACACCAATAATTTTCTGAGTACCAAGAAATAACAAGTAACATGCCACACAGTTCTCAAGGCTATAAGCCCCGTTGGATCCAATACCGAACTAAGAGTCATCCTTAGGGTGGCAACCTGTGCCTTTTCTCTAAGATGATCCGATTGAAGGTCACCTAGCTTAACCTAGGTCTTTTCCTTATAATCGTTGAGCACTAGAGTCATCACGGCCTAACCCGGATCTGTTCCCTAGTGGCCAGAGTCACTACACACACTGAAATAATTTTCCTGGACTAAAATATACAGATGGTCCCAATAATCAATACACATCAATTTCGCAAAACATGGTAGTTCACCATTATAAACATAAGACCAAAACAAATAGTTTACAGCATGCCAAGTTCACACATGTTTCAGAAATAATTTGATTCCATTGATAATATAATAATTTATCAAAACAGTTTAATCATGAAACAACAATTTAATTTTCCAACAGTCCAGGGTAGAGGAGCATTTATAAAAATATGTAGCATGAAACTACTCACCTAGAAATGAAATAATGTAATCCTCAAATAAAGTATAAAATTCTAACTAGTGCCCTGAACTAGGTATAAAAACTACACGTCACTAGTAATTTAAAAATACTAAAAAATATGAATTAAGTAACCTCAAACTAAAGTGCACTAACACGGCTCAACCCAACTCACCGTTACTCTTAAATATTACCTAAGTTCATGTTCTTCAAGGTCTAAAATCACCCAAGACATGGGTTCCGATCGAAACTTAACTAAAAGTAACTTTAAGCTAAAATAAAGTTTTAAACAAACTTTCCCAATCTATTCGCTAACTTTAAAAATTACAAAACTCACTTCACGTTGTTCAAAAAATTCCAAAACCCTCCAGATATCAACTAATATATCATAAGTTTCAAACCCAATTGGTTTCACTTGATTGGCTTATCAAAATAATTATTTACAATTAATTATATTCAAACAGGTTATTTTCTGCAGCACTTTAAAGAAAATAATGGTTCTCTTAGTATACAAGAGCAAATCAATGCAAGGCCAAAAATGTGCGAAACTAGACTCGTAACCAGTTCTAATGACACTAATTTGATAATTTTCAGATTTATACCCAAAGAGAACGACACTCCCGAACTTACTGTTTTAAACTAGTTTCTGGACAGATTTGAACGCATCAGTTTATATGGATTTTGACTCCCAAAAATTATGAAAAAATTCAGATATGCAATTCAATATGTAATTAATCTACTGTAAAAATTTCAATTTAAAATTCATCCATGTGATATAGTTTCTTGATTTTTAAAGTTTGTGATTCTGTGCAGAATTTTTAGACTAAGAATTACCATTCTTTATACATGAATTTAACTCCTCAGATTTCTTAACAGTATATATATACAAAATACATAAACCTACAACCTCTCCATCAATGAACTAAATAATAATAGAGTAAGGATAAAGAACAAAAACAAAGAGAAGAAGAAAGATAGAGACCTACCCCACACCCAAAAGTTCTTCCTTGTTTGCAATCTTTTTTTTTTTCCTTCTTCTTCTTTTCTCTCAACCTCTCTCTCCCCGTGGCTGCTGTTGTTGTTGTTATATATTGTATTAGTCAACTTAGGGTTACTTTATATATCTAAACAAAAGGCTCTAAATTATTATCTTTTATATTATTTTATTTTCTAACCCATTAATTTAAATAAAATATAACTATTATTATAACAAAATATACTTGCTAACTTGCCCTCTATTTTTTTTAAAAAAATAATAATAAATCTTGCCTTTAAATTAAATATTTTCACCATAAATTTATTTTAAGTTTAAAAATAGTTAAAAGACCCTCCAATAATATTTAATTCGCACTTAAAGATTCACAATAAAATATTTTAGATTTGTAAAATTATTATTATCTAATTATTTATTTTATTTGTATATTCGGGTTCTCACAGTGAAGCAGGAGGATATTCAGAAAACAGCATTCTGTATGTGGTATGACCGCTATGAGTTCTTAGTGATACCTTTTGGGCTAACCAATGCATTGACTTTGATTATGGATTTGATGAATCAAATCTTTTGTGGGTTCTTAGATCATTTCGTGGTTGTCTTTGTTAACGACATCTTGATCTACTCACTCTCTGAGGAGGAACTTGAGGAACACTTGCATGTTGTACTTGAGTTGCTTAAAGCCCACTGTTTATATGCTAAGTTCGGAAAGTTCGAATTTTGGTTAAAAGAAGTTAGGCTCTTTGGACATGTGGTATCTGGGGAAAGGGTGACGGCACACTCTTCTAAGATAGAAGTAGAGCAAGACTGGGAATAACCAAAGAATGCCTTTGAGATTTAGAGTTTCTTCGGCTTAGTCGGGTATTACCGACGTTGTGTAAGAGACTTCTCTAGATTGGTCTCACCATTAACTAGATTGACGAGGAAGGGGGTGAAGTTTGTGGGAAGTGAGACTTTTGAAAAGTCGTTTCAAGAGCTTAAGGTTAGACTCACCACTACTCCAGTATTGATTATTCCGGAGAGGAGTTTGGGCTATTCAGTTTATTGTGATACGTCTCGAGAAGGATTGGGTAGTGTATTGATGCAAAGGGGAAAGTGGTAGCATACAATTCGCGACAGTTGAAAACACATGAGAGAAATTTAAATTACTCATGACTTAGAGTTAGCAGTGGTAATTTTTGCCTTGTGACTTAACTTCACAAGTATCCAAGTGTGAAACTTGTGACTTAACTTCATGCACCGAACAACATCAACTTCAGTGAAGATTTTTAAATATTCTTATTGTCCAACCCTGCAGTGAACTGTCTTAATTTCTTCAAACTAGATACATTTTGGCATAACTTGAAAGCATATACAGTATGCTAGTAAATTGCCAAGAAATGTTTCCATAATTGAATTTATAAATATAATCCAATAGTTCCAGTAATCTTATTAGGATGTGCTGGTTAGTTGCAGGATATTCCTTCACGTGCCCATGGGAAATGGTCCACGCTTCATTTGTTCCCATAAGCAAAGTGATTGCCTTTTTGGCTGGATATCGGCAAGGAACAAAACAAATAAATAAAAAAATTTAGTTTCGAAACTTATTATCATCAGTGTCATCATCAAATATTTTCTAAGATCAAAAAATGTCAAGCTGTTCCCAAAAATTATTTTTGAGATTTGTCCAGATCCAGAATCATCCTAACGAGTTGTCAAATAATCATTATTCAGATTCACATTCTTATCACCACTTTCAATCATTCTAACAATCACAATCACCACCCAAGCCATACCCAGTTAAGTGAAGTTAACATCAACAAGAAAATGAAGCAAAATTTATTAAAGAATCAAACATTAATTCTCCTCCAAAAATAAATACCTTTAACGTCCTCAATGGTACCATGTGACCAGCAATACTCATAAGACGATTGACCAGCTCCATCGATATTTTTCCATGGTTTGCTTGCTACAACAACCAAATAATGTATGTTTATATTTAACCCAACAAGTAAAACACAATTTTATTCTTTTATTTATTTTTTTTTATTTTTATTTTTTATTTATTTATTTCTTTAAAGTACACAATGAGAAGTTAACAAAAAGAAAATGCGAGTACAAGACGAACTACGCTAGACCACAAACCAAGGATCATATAATAATAGTCATGTTAACTTTCTAGTACCGCTAGTCTAGCAACTTTGGCCAGCTTCTGCTTTACTTCATGTGGCAACCTCCGCTTGACTGCCTGAGATGAAATATCAGCATCCTGAACTTCCATGGTTGGTGGTCTTGCTGATATTTACAAAGAGACACACAATTAATTGATTATGTGATTTATAGTAATGATTCAATGAATAATTACGACTATACACTATAATAGAAAGAAATACTCAAACGTACATTCTGCAACCATCTTCTCCAACTCCTTAATGGCCTTTTCGAGCATCGTGCTTTTTGGCCTAACATTTAAACCTTTCTTTCTTTGCCTGAGTGGAGCCTTCTGCATGATTTTAGAATACAAAATCAATATTTGCTTGAATTTCAGTTACAAGCACAAAATATAAAAGCTACCAAAAAATTGTTAGGGCACAAAGTCACAAAAAAAATTATAATTCATTAGTGGAATTCTTGACAAAATTAATAATTCTATTTATATATATATAACCAAAATTTGATGTCATCAGCACAGCATGTAAACATAAATTTTAGAACATGAAACTTCATGTTTCGGATCATCTACCATGTATATCATCAAGAAAACAAGACTAAAACGACATACCTGAATCCATCGATGAACGGTTAAACGGAAGCGTCTGATTGTCAATAAAACCTTTGATATTGACTATGTTATTGCCTTCTAATCCTTTCCCCTTTGGTGCCTTATGTTTCTCCTTGAGAGGATTTAGAAAAACAAAACAGTGTTCTTATCTTTTCACCTTTGGGAAGGAATAGGGACCATAACCTTTTAAAGGTTGTAATTGGTTTTCATAACTGAAAGGTAATGAAAACCAATAAATTAACCATTATTGGTTTAAAACTGAAAGGTAATGAAAACCAACTTTAACCAATATGTTTTAATTTCTATTTCTGCCCCTCATAGAAATAGAAATTATACAACTAGTATCTACACATTAGGGCCATAACACATATACCCTTAAGCCTATTAACTAAATTGAATCACTTAAATGGTAGGCTTCTTATAAATGATAACACCACATTTAATTATATGGTCCCATTGAGACATTATCTAACAAATTACCACTGGACCACATATGTATCCTAAAAA